CCTCAGCAGCTTCATGTCTAACCATAGGAGCTTCGTTTTGTCTGTTTAAAACTTCAATCAAAGTTGGAACAACAACTGGGTTACCAATTTGACCAAAGACATATGCGATTTCATGTTTGAATAAAGCAGATTTGTCTTCAAAACCGGTACATAGAGCCAAACAAGCTTCATCAGTACCAATATCTCTCAATCTGAACATAGCTCTATATCTTTTGAATAATGGTTGAGATTGATCATTCAATAGGAGTTGTAATTGTTCAATAGAAGCACTTTCTTGTAATGGCAATGGTGGAGCAGGATCGATGGAAGAGTATAAAGATTGTTGTAAGATTTCATCCTTAGATAAACCAGACTTGGCCCATTGGATTCTGGCAATAGCTAATTCACAAGTTTGTCTGACAGCTTCTTCTTGATCTTCTTTCAAACATTTGTTTAAAGCATTAATGGCAGAAGCATCTTCCAAAGCACCTAAAGCTTCAGCAGCTTCATGTCTAACCATACATTGTTGTTGAGCATCCAACATACATTCGATTAAAAATTGAGAAGCATGTAAATTCTTACATTGGCCTAAAACATAACAAATTTCATGTTTCAAAAGTTCAGATGGTTCATTGATTAAACCTTGAGCCATATATTCGATAGCGGTATCAGCTTTTCTTTTATCAGTTTCAAAATCTTCAGCATGGGATTTCAAGTTGAATAAAGCTCTAAATCTGTTAGATAATTTAGTCTTTTGATTGCTGTTAGTTAAAGCATCTCTTAAATTTTCCAAATTGTCAAAGTTTTCAGTATCTGGTTCAACGTAATGTTTTTCAAAGTTAGTAGACATTTAGGTAATTATTAGTGTTATATGATAAAGTTAAATTCTCTGGTTTTAAGTTAAAAATAGAAAAAAATAATAATTATTATTTTTACTAATAATTATTTAATATTCTCTTTTTTTTTTGAAATATAGAATTGAAATCTGTTCTTGCTCATCTCTATGTTCCAACATTAAAATTTATAACAATACTTTTTTTTTTATTTTTTTTAGACAATTTTTTTTTTTTATAAAAAAAATACATTACTGTAAAAATTTCAAAATTTTCATATTTAAAAAAAAAAAAAAATTAAATACTGATATGTATTTAAAAAATATATTTTTCTCCTTCGTTTATGAAATGTGTTAATTATAAATCTTTGGTAAAAAAAAAAAAGAAAAGTGTTTCTTCGACAAATTTACACCCTAAGGCATGTGACCAATTTGAGAAAAAAAAAGTTACCCGCTATTTTACAAAAGCCGTCCCCCATCATTAAAAAACGAGTGGCAAAATTTCCCTTAATACAAATATAAACATTAATATATATATATATATATCAAATAGTATAAAACTAATATGAAACCAAGTAAATAATAAATATACATATATTACTTTAATTACAATATAATGACTGGTTTAAACAAAACAAAACTTATTATACCAACTGTTTCTGTTGGTAACATTCCTCAATTGACTGCTGATTTGATCTTAGCAAATGATTCTAATTATATTATTTTGAAAGATGATAATATTATTGATCCTGATTTATTAAAATTCACATACCCATTTGTTAGCAGTGATGATAATGAATTTATTAGAAGTCTTGAAATATATGAAAATAAAGTAAATAATACTTATCTTTTACAACAAAGATCTCCAATCATAAAAGGGTTTGAAATTAATTTTTATTCTTTATTAGTTAAAAGAATTAAACAAACTTTACCTCAAATAAATGAAATTATAATTATTGATTCTTTATCTGGAAGTGATCCTTATATTGATTTGATCAAATCAGAAAAAGTTTCTAATCTTTATGAATTAATAAATGATCAAAGAATATCTGTAGGCCATTTAAACTCAAAGATTGATGCTAAAGCCTTTGAAAATTTCAGAGAAGCATTAGACAATGAAATCAATTCTCTTGCTGAAAAAGAAAAAATTGAACATAAATATGATGACATAAACTTTGAATTTAAGGAAGTATTACCTAAAGCAGATCAAACGGTGATACAATTTGATGGTAGCAGTTTTCAAAACAAAATTTTTGTTGATTCTCTTCTTACAAAACTTGTATCAACGTTTGTAGAAATTACAACAAACATAAATTATTTCAATATGGTTTCTTATGAAGGTGATAATTCTTTGGATGCAGTTATATTTATAAAATTTTTAACATCTTTAAAAATAGTCAAACCAACAGAGAATATTAAGATACCAAAGAGTTGGGAAAGTGTTTATGGATTTAAACATTTAAAAGAATCTATAGATGAAAGTTTATATACATAATTTACAAAAAAAAAAAAACATATATATATATTATTATTATTATTTATCTTTTTAATGTTTTTTTATTTATCCTCTTATATATTTGACAATATTTTCAGCAGTTTCAGAACTTACATCTTTAGCTGTCTTTTCCAATGCTTCTTGATACTTTGCTTGTAAATCAGGTACTGTGTCATTAACTTCACCAAGTTCTCTATCTTCACTGAAAGTATATTCTCTTTCAGCAGCAGCCCCAATATCATCGTTCTCTTCTTGCTCAGAATCTGGGTCAAGAATTCCGTCATTTTCTCCTTCTTCTAAATCACTTATTACATCAGCACTAGAATCTGAATGAGCTTCTTTATTTACATCTTTCTTATTCTTTATTTTCAAATCTTTCATTAGCTTGGTCATTGATTCCTTTTTCATTTTTTCTTCCTCCAATTCCTTTCTTTTTAAAGTTTCTTCTCTTTCCTTCTTATAAAATTCATTATATTCTTTGACTTTATTGTCTACAGCCTTAGTGAAATCATCAAATCCTGCACCAGTGGCACTTGAGACTTGAACACAATCTAATTGAGAGTAAAACTCTTCCAACATTAAAGACATACTGTTGACTAAGGATCCCATATAACCTGAACCCATTCCTGTTTCACCTTGTAGTTCTTTATTTTTCAAAATAGCTTCTTGGAATACTTCAAAATCTTTCATCCAATCAATAGCAAAATCAGCTTTAACTACATCATTCTTGTTGAATACTAAAACCATTGGTAACTTGGTCTTGTATAATATAGAACAAGCATATAACATATTGGACATGAAAGTTGATGGAGATTGGTTTCTAGGAGTATCAACGATATAAGCAATGACAGTAGGATATTGAGAAGCAAATGATTCAGTGATGATAGATCCAGATGCAGACCAAACAAAACATTCAATTTGACCTGGGGTATCAATTATACAGTTCTTGAAAGTATCAGATCTTTTTTCAACAATCTTCATTACTTGATCAATTTTAGTTGAGAATAAATTTAATGATGTTACAATTGCACCATTTGGACCTAAATCATAGTTTTCCATAACTTTTTTATATTTGATAGAATCTCTGATATCAATGTGACAACCAAATGGTACTTTTAAAGTGGCTGGATCTAAGTTTATAACATATGGTGGATTCTTTTCAGCATGTAAATGAGAGTTTAATCTTTGCATGAAAGTAGTTTTACCACTTCCGGCCATACCAATACAGATAACAGTTTGCATTATAGTAAAAAAAATAAAAAATGAGTTTTGTAATTTAAACTACACTTGGGTTTGTGTTTAATCTTCTTTTTTTTTAGGTTTTAAACAGAAATTTTTGTTAAAATATGAAATCTGTTAATTTTTTTTTTTTGATGAAGGTAAATTATCTAAGAATTATTTGAGTGTGTTTTTTTTTTCCTCCAAAAAAAGAAATTTCATCGAAAAAAAATAAGTCACATGATTATAGTTCACTATATATATATATATATATTCATTATTTTAAAAACTTTATAGGTCTATATCTAAATCTTCACTATAAGTATTTAATATATCTTCTTCTAACTTGTTTCCAAATTCTTGCTTATGGTCATATAATAATTCATTGTTCAAAGTTCTTTCTAAATATTCACATTGTTGTACAAGTTGTTGGTCATTTAAAGTATTGAACTGATTATTCATATCAACTTGCATTTTCAACAGATTCAACGCACTAATGTCAATAGTCTTTTGATGGAAAAAGACATTATAAAATGCATCTAATCCATACATTAAAATAAAATACCAAGATATTGTTGTTGTATAACTAGTGTCCAAATCTCTTGTAGGAATGCCATTTTGAACAACTTCTTTAAATTTAAGAGTCAATGGGAAAGGTAATCTCATAATAACATAGTTTGTAAAAAAATGATTTAACCACCAAGTGATAACAGTTTGTGGGACAAAGTTCAATGCATTTCCAATAGCCATTTGCTTTAAACCACCAGAATTCTTTTGGAATTCATCTAAAGAGTTTGCAAATTGTTCTTGTGCTGGATCAACTTCTTTCTCTGATCCTTTTTTTTCATCTTCTTCATTTTTTTCAGGAACAGCAAAGAATCTTTTTTCTTCCAACATTTTTAAATAATGCAATCTTCTGATTTCAAAAGATTTTTCATTTAATAAAAATTTCCCATTAGCAACAAATGCACTCATTTCTTGCAAAGTCTGCCATTCAGTATATTTTTGTCTAGGTTGTTCTTTAATATCCCCACCTAATAATCCCATAACAAAATTTTTAAGCATACCAATAATAATTATTACTATAGAAATAGGAAGTAAAACATTATATTTTAATCTATCATCAAGGGCTAATTCAATAGAAGCACCTGATAAAATAACCAGGTTTTTGGATAATGAGAAAAAAGGTGCCATTATATATAATGGTTTGATATGGTGTTTGAAACGTTGTTTGTTTAATTCTTGAAAAAAAAAAGTGTTTTTTTTTTTTTTTTTGGGTTAAAATATTTTTAAAGAAAAAAAAGCACACACACACAAAGAAAAAAATATGCATAAACTTAACTACAAAAAAGTCAATTTAAAAAACTAATCACATAGAAAAATCACTATACAATATATTCAAATTAACTTATATTGAATTCAAATGCAATACTAACATTATTATATTTAATATAAAAAAAATTAAAAAAAAGGTGGTGTCACAGACGAGGATTGAACTCGTGGTCTTTCCATTACGAGTGGAACGCCTTACCACTTGGCCACAATGACATTTATTAAATCCGAAACAACGGCTTTAAACATTTTTTTATTATTTTTTTTACTACCTATATAGACAAGAAACAAAAAAAAACTTTTAACTTTTATTTACCCACGAAAACAAGCTCAGTAAAAGATTTTACTTTACAGTTTTCAAATAATTAATGCTATAATCATTTCGAACCTACTCCATTGCATATTCATATAATGAAATTCAGTTAAAACTAAGCAAGAATACTTTTTAAATAATTTTTTTAAAAATTTTAATTCATACTTAGCTAGCAGTATTTAAAATTACACCAAAAGAAAATTTTATAAGAATCATCATCATCAATTTATTTCCAATCTTATAGAAGAATGATTAATTTTTAAAGACAAGAAATACAATTTTAGAATATTTTTTTTTTTTATATTTATTTTCATTAAAAGCATTACAAGTGTAGTTTGTTTACATATATGTGTATATAAGATATTTAAATAATAATTGCATATCAATTTTTATGTTGTCAAAACAACATCAAAAAAAAAAAATTATTTAATAAACTTTGTTGGATGATTTTGGTAAAGCAGAAGATTTATTATCTTCCTTTTGTAGCTTTGCATTCTTTCTTTCTTGTTCTCTCTTAGAGTAAATCATGTTAGTGAATGGACCTTCAAATTGCTCAGCAATGTGGTAAACAGCTCTAACAAAACCACTGACTAAAACACCGAATGGAGAACCATAGTAGATAGCAGTACCTAAGAAAGATAGAGAAGAACCAATGTACATTGGGTGGTCAACAACATTGAATGGGAAACCAGTTAATTTTTCATCCTTTAAAATTCCGAAGTAATCACCTAAGTAAGTACCATCAATTCCTAATTTGTACATAGAACCTAAGTTTAAGATTTGACCAGCAGCAAAAGTTAAACCACCAACAACCTTCAAAGCAGTACCCCAAATAGAGTCTTTAGGTAGGTATTCAAAGACAGAAGGTTGTTCTAAAACACACCCCTTCAAAAAAGCCTTGTCTCTTAGTAAACCTAGAGAAAAGATTAAAATAGCTAAAGAGTAACAAGCTTTGTATTTGGAATTAAAGATTTTCTTAGAGAAGATTCTGAATTTGTAATCCAATCTAGCAACAACATTCCAGGTAGTTGGGTTTAAAATAATTAAACCAAGAGCTAGCTTGGTAGTGTTATTATTAAAGTTGGTGTTTGATAAACAAGTGTTAATTATTCCTTGGAAAGACATATTATATTTTTAGTGTATTATGATTTTTTAAGATACTTATATGTTTCTTGGTATTTATATTTTATTTTATTTTATATAATTATGATGAGTATTTAAAAAAAAAATAAAGAAAATATCATCAACAGTTTTATTTTTTTTTTATATTTTTCAATCTTCAAAAGCTGTTTATATATAATTAAAATTATCATATTCATAATTACATGAAAAAAAAAGTAATAATAATAATAATAATGTAAATAAATTATATATTAACTTTTTTTTTTTAAATACATATTACTATTATTAATATTATTATTTTTTAATTAACAAAAACATGAAAAACTATTGTTTCATATGGGGCACACTTTTGATTTTCAAATACTTTTTTTTTTTTAACAAAAATGTCAGAATAGAATGGGACAATTTCCCTGTTTTAAATTTTTAAAAAAAAAAAATCCTCCGGTCATCCATGTGAAAATTAATAATATGACATGTGACAAATTAATTTTGCTTACCTAATTGTGGTGGTGTAATCTTTAACCCATAATATGTCACATGATATATTGTTTACATAAACAGTGGTGAAAAATTAGATATCATTTTGAGAAATAAAAAAAAACAGAAGTCAAGTTTTAAATCAGTTTTAACAAAAGCACTGATGTTTCCAAAAAGGGTAATTTTTTTAAACAAAAATATTGTAGAAAAAAATAATAATAAATATTTCAAATATTTATTTATCATTATTTAAGATAAAAAGATATGTATATCTCATGAGATAGTGTTTATATAAAAAAGCTATTTAGTAGAACATCATATTAAAAATGAAAAATAGCAAATAAAAAAACTTTAATTAATTGTAAATACAAACTTTTGTAATTTTTTTGTATTAATTAATTTCTATAATAGACCAAATTAGCAATTAATTTATAAATTATAATGCTTGCAGTAAAAAATAATATTTATAAATTTGTTACTTTTCGTCAAGATTGGCTTTTAATAATTTCATTATTTGTTATTACTGTTGTTGTAGGACTAGTTCCTTCAATTGCTTCTATTTTAATTGGAAGATGTTTTAAAATTTTCACAAACATTTATTATGGTCATTACAAAACATATTCAATAATGTATGATGACTTAGTTTTAAGAACCATGTCCTTGGTTATCTTAGCAGCTGCATATTTTTCTGTTAGTTGGATTTCAATAACTTTATGGATGAGATTTGGTGAAATACAAAACTATAGAATTAGATCTACTATTTTCAAAAATTATATGCTAAAGGATTTAAATTATTTTGATACTCATGAAAATTTAACAGCTGAATTTGTTCAAACTAATAGATGTATTGAAGAGCTTAGACAATCTTGCTCAGAAGCTACAGGGATAGCTTTTCAATCTATTGTAAGTTTGATTGCTTTGATATGTGTTGCATGTTATTATTCATGGTCATTAACATTAGTGTTTTTATGTTCTGCTCCATTAATAGCATTAGTAGCTACTGTTTGTTCAAAAAAATATGAAAAATATACAGATTTGGAAAACGATGAATCAATGATATGCTCTGAACAAATACTGAATGTAATGGAAAATATTAAACTTATAAAAATTAATATGACTGAAAAAGAAGAATTGGATAAATTTAATAAACAAATTAAAAATTGTAATGATTTTTTTATCAAAGGTTCTTTTTGGACATCCATTAATCAAGCAATTTTAAAAATGTTATCACTTTGTATGTTTGTGCAAGGCTTTTGGTTTGGTGCTTCTGAAATTAAAAAAGGTCGTTTATCAACTGAAAAAGTTATTATTTGTTTCTCCAGTTGTATATCTTTAAGTTCAACATTAATGTCTTTAATCCATCAAATTATAATTATTCAAAAAGGTAAAGTTGCATTAAAATTTGTTAACAAATTATTTGATTCTGATTTGATAGAGAATAAAAAGGATTTAAAAGATATCTCTTTACCACTTCCTCAAGAGCTATCTAACAGAGTAAATAGCTTGGATATTGAATTTAATAATGTTACTGCATCTTACATTTCTAGACCAGATGTTAAAGTTTTAAATCATGTTGATTTAAGTTTAGCAGCAAATGAGCTATGTTTTATTGTTGGAAAATCTGGTTCAGGTAAATCTACTCTATTTAACTTACTATTAAAATTGTATGATAATCAATATGAAGGTGAAATTTCTTTGAATTCTGTTAATATAAGGAAAATACCAACAAATTGGTTACTATCGCAAATTACTTTAGTAGAACAACATACTCATTTATTTAATGATACTTTAAGAAATAATCTTTTACTTGGATGTGATTTGAGAGATAAATATTCTGAAATTTTTTTTGAAGAAGTTATTGAAATTGCCCAACTTAAGGAAGTAATTGACATTCTACCAAAAGGGCTAGATACAGTTATGGGTAAATCATTTTTTAAAGAAGATGAGGAAATTGATAAAAAAACAAATAAAAATGATAAAGAAAAAAACAATGAAACTAGTGAAAAAGAAGAAGACAATGATAATAACAATAACAATATAACATTAAGTGGTGGACAACAACAAAGAGTTGCTATTGCAAGAGCATTATTAAGAAACACTCCAATAATTGTTTTTGATGAATCTTTAAGTGCTGTTGATATTAAAACAAGACATTTAATTATGACAAAATTGAAAGAACATAGAAGTGGAAAAACTACTATAATGTTAACACATGATTTTTCATGTATTGATAATGAAAATAATGTTTATGTGATGGAGAGTGGATCAGTTAAAAAATTTGGTACTAAGAAACAATTAATGTCTAGAAATTCCATTTTCAAGCAAATGTATGATTTACAAACACTTTATCAAAAAGAACAATTAGAGAACAATATTGATGATAACATTAGTTTCACTAACAGTTTTACAAAACAAACTTTGGAATTAAATCCATTTGATAGTAATCTAGATAACACATTATCTTCTCCTGAAACTCAAAAAAACTTCACCATTTCTACAGCCAAAAGAATTTCCAAGTTTTTTGATAACGATTCAAAGTCAGAGTATGTTGATGAGACATTTACAGATTTCCCACTTGAAGGTATATCTTATGAAAAATATGAATCTCCAAGTAGACTTCCTTTGACTTCTTTAACTAAAATTTTTAAAGCAATGTATAATACAATCACAAATAAATTTTATTTAATTTTAGGATTAATTGCTGCTGTCATATCTGGTGTTTCTAATCCTGTATTTTCTTGGGCAGATGCTAAACTTATAAATGCTAATGTTTTACAAGGTAAAACTGCTTCGACCAATGATACTATTAGTACTAATTCTAAAAGATTGATTAAGCTGGTCTCTGCAGCTAGAAATGCGGAAAATGATTTTTCTACTACTACTTCTGATTCTTCTGCTTCACCAAGCAGTGGTTATATGGTTAAATGGTGTATGATTGTTATTGCTATTGCAGCTATTGATGGTATTTCAACTTTTTTAAAAGAATATTTGTTGCAATGTGCTGCAGAAACTTGGATAATGAATTTAAGAAATTTATCTTTCAGAAACATTTTAAATAATCAATTAGACTGGTTTGAATTTGCTTTGAATAAACCATCTGAGGTTTCTGCTCTTTTAATGAATGATTTAAGAGATGTAAGAACATTGGTATCACAATTTCTGACTGTTGTTGTAACTGTTATTTTTGTTTCATTAGGAGGTTTAATTTGGGCTATTGTATCTGGATGGAAATTGTCACTTGTTGGTTTATCTTTGATTCCATTGTATATCATCACAACAATTTTTTATACATTTTTGCTTCAAA